GTTTGCTGCTGGCATTGTCCAGGCTCCCTCCTCCCCAGAACCAGGACCCAAAAGGCCCTGAAGCAACTCTGATGCATATTCTGTGCACAGCGCAGGGTCCCCACAGATTTCAGCCCCATTACTGTGCACCCCTGAGGCCGACCCTGAAGCCAGGCTCCTGCGCACTGCCAGCCTGGTCCCCACTGCTGACTGAGTGTAGCACCTGGCCCTACCCCGCCACCATGCCCCAACCACCATGCCTGCTGCTCTGTGATTGCATGTGCGAGTGCACCTCCAGCTCAGCCCACCACTGTCCCCACACAGAGATGGCCAGCCACTGTCACTGCCCTGCACCTGGCCCCGGCGACCACATGAGTGCAGATGATGACCCCCACTGCCACCTGTGTGCCACAGTAGTCTCCAGCCCCTGCCGCCAGCCCCGGTCAAGCCTGCAGCTGCCAGCTGTGCAGTTAGAGCTGGCCTGCACAGTAGGAGGGGTGCGCACCTGGCTCTGCCCTCCTCTGCCATGGGACCTGGCCCCTAACTTGGTGGAGAGACCCAGCAGCCCCGAAGCCCCGGAGGACCGCACAGCTCTTGCCACAGAGGACCACCATCAGGCACCAACTCTACGGACTATAGCTGCCTGAGCTGAGGACAGCCAGCAAAACATCCAGCCGGGAGCCACCACAGGTGCCGTCCACACTTACTGCCCTGTGGCAGCAGCCCCAGCCTGCAGGATCTCCTGTGTTTCCACCCATGAGCTCTGTGCTTGCGGAGCCAGGCCAGGAGGTCCGGAAGAGGTGGCTGCTGCTTCAAAGGCATGTACACCTTGGCGCGACAGAGAAGCTCATGAAGAATCACTGGAGAACACGACAGAAGTTCAGGGCCTGGCCCCAAGCAACCAGACAGTCACAGACTGTATGACAAAGATTTTAAAATACTTATTTTTAAAAGTCTCAGTAAACTACAAAAGAACCCAACTAGACCTTGTAATGGAACCAGGAAAACTGCAAGAATGAAGCCAAAAGCTAAACAAAGTGATGCAAACACTAAAATGAGCCGATCGGAATCTTGGAGATGAAGAACACAACAACGCAAGCTTCCAGTGAGTGGAGCGCTCGCGCCTCAGACCTGAACTGGCAGCAAGAGTGAGCAGAGTCCAAGCTGAGCGTCTGAAATCACAATCACAGCACAAAAAGAAAAGCTGTCAGGAACTGGAGAAGGCTGTGGGAGCTATGGTGCCACACGAAGAGTAATGGCATCTGCATAGTGGGAGTTAGGAGAAGAGGGAAAGTGGCTGAAAGTTCATGGAAAGACATAGCAGCTGAAAACTTCCCAAATCTGAAGATGCAAAATACAGGTAGAGGAAGCTCGAAAGCCCCGTCAAGTACAAGAAGAGTTCATCAAAACACACGATAGTCCAACTACGGAAAATCAAAGACAAAAGAAAGCAGCAAGGGTGAAGAAGCACTGGACACAGGAGCGCTCAGGACTGTTATCAGCATGGGCTTTTTCCAACACAATTCTTGCAGACTAGGAAAGAGAGGGACAATGTATTCAAATTGTTGAAAGAAAAATAGGCCAGGCAAGAGCACTTCTGGAACTGAGAAGAATGGCAGGGTACAGAACTTCTGTTTTTACAAATCTACATGTTCAGTAAGAAGGCAGCCACTTTGAGCTGAGCGGAGTGTGGCATGGTCCTGCTGGCCTTAGGATGCTCCCTTTGGCCACTAGGGGGAGACCGATAGGAGGCTGAGAATCAGAGTCCAGGGAAAACTCCTTGGCAGGAGTTGCTGGGTTGGAGGGCTCACCAGCACAACGCCAGGACACAGAAGGCCAGGTCCCACCGCAGGAAAAGCTCCAGTGATGTCCAGCAGGACAAGGCACATGGGAGAAGGCACACAGCGTTCTGCCCCGTCTTGCTGAGGAGCACCTTCTCGTCTACCATGGTCTTGATAGGCAGGAAATCTGAATAGCCCACGCCCCAAGACCTAATGACATTCACCAGATCTTAGACAGTTTTAGTTGACTTTCCAGCCACTGACTGTAGAGATACAGATCAGACCTTAGACTTGTGAGTCACCGTGGTAACCACCGAGGAGGCCGGGCTGTGCATCGGCAAACCACTGGTCACTGTCAGACCTCCAGGTACAGCGTCCATGCCTAACCTCACTGAGACTTGGCTCCTGCAGCTCTGAAGTAAGGTTGACGATGCATCCACAGCACTTGTGCTGCGCCGGGCACGGTTGAGTATCCTGTCTCAGTCACTTGAACTGTGATGAGCAGAGCCCGAGGACCAGTGGGGGGTGTGCCCTGCCTGGAGCACTCCAGTGTCTCCCAGAGTTCATAGCTCTCTGCAAGTTGCTCTTTAAACACATGGTATATTAAACTAAATTATATTATTTTCTATAAACCTATACCTGAAAATCTCCATCAGTCTTAGCAAAATAGCAGTTAATATGTAGAATTTTCACCTTGACTGACTCTGTATGCTGATAGCTTTGATCTAAGCAGCTACATCAAGGACAGCAATGTGTAATGCAAAAACCATGCTTGAATACCAGACGTCTTGGTCTTCTAAATGTGTACATTCTTAATGTCATATCAATTAGTACTATGCCTTCTTGAAAACAAACTTTAAAAATACTAAACCTACACTAATCCTCCAGTAGCACCCTCCCTATGCAGATAAGGTATTTTTTTAATCAAGAATTTTAAAATTTAGCAGAAAAAGTGGTCATTTGTCACTGTAAGAAATACAGATTAAATCCGGGGTGAAAGAAGAGATGTGTAATTATCCATGGCAGAGGAAGTTATTGATAGAACAACTACTGAGACAAGAAATCAGGCAGGAAGCAGGTACGGAATTTGGACACCGTGGCAGGGCCGTCATGTCCAGCTACTGCTGAGGTATGAGGAAGTCGTGACTTCTAGTGTTCGGTGCAATCCTGAGAGCCAGAGGACCTCTGAACTAGAGGGGGCTGGACTCGGAGCTAGCTGATGTCTCCCTTCTACCCTTTGGGACCTGGTACTGCTTCCTCCTGAAAAATCCAGGGAACCACCCCTGGATCCCCCGGGGATCAACCCCCAGAGTCCAGCACAGGGCAGGGAAAGGGACGCCGGTCAGCCGAAGTGCTCACTCATGGGCAGGAAAAGCAGTCCTCTTGCTGACAGGGAGCTCGTAAATGCTGTGGTTTTTTGTTTGTTTGTTTTTTGCAGGTTATTGAAGATATCCTCACAAACCAAGATGATGAGGAAAAGAATAAAAAGAAAAAGAAGAACAAGGAAAAGAAGAAACCCAAAGAGAAGGAAAAGAAAGGAGCAAAGGAAAAGCCCAAGGTAAAGAGCTTGTCTGGAATGTTAGAAATTTGATTTAGCTTCTTTTTAGTGCCTTCCTCCTCTTTAGCTTTTGACCAATAGAATCCTCTCGTATCTGCTAAAACTGCAGCTGCTCATTTCCTAGAAAACCGTTCTATCTGCTGACAGCCTTTTGTTCTCCTTTACATTAATCAACATTCAGTTGCTGTCTTTTCCACGACTTGTGAATATCTGTTAGCGTAAGTGGCGGCTTCACCAATTCATATACTTCACGTAGCTTTCAATTCTCATCCCTCAAATAAATTATTCCATTCAGGATAAAGAGAAGAAAAACTAGCCAAGAAGGTAATTATTGGAAAGAAATCGCACCTGATTTAACCCAAGTGTGTTCATTCAAATTTGTCACTGACATTGACATCTTGGATATATTTTAGCAACCTATTTTTTCTTCCTATCCAAAGGCAATCAGCAGCCTTCCCTTTCTTGGAGGGGCTCGGGCAGGGGTAGGGGTGCTTGCCCAACACTGCTACCCAGCTGCAGTGATTGGGGGATCTTGACCAGGGTCATGGGAGAGGCACAGACTCCTGTGGCAGGATGTGGCACTTGGGCGTGGAGCTGGTGCTGAGAGAGGACAGGACTGAGTTTCCAGGAACAGCTCCTCAGCCCACAGAAGTATAAGCTCAGTGACCTTCAGGAGTCGGTTCTGAAAATTCCATTACCCTAATCTGAATCACTCCCAACACTGGATCCCAAATGTTTGGATCACTGTGATTCAAATTTGCACTAGTTCTCAAGAGTTGATCCCAAGGTGATGTGGACACGGCTGGAGGCAGCTCAGGCAGCGGCAGCCTCAGCTTTCACGTCCCTAGTGCAGTCCCAGTGAGAGCTTGGACTCCTGGACTTTGCTCTAGATGCTGTGACGCAAGGTCCTGGCAACTTGGCTCCCTCTTACAGAGAGGAGGAGGATAGGCCTGTGACCGAAGACAACAAATGACTGGAGAAGCCCTGGATGCTGTGAGCAGGGCTGCAAGGTGACAGTGGCAGCACGCGGATGAGTCAAGGTCGGCGTGGATGCATGACATGGGCCGTGCGTGGCTTGTCTTCCGCCCTGGGCACAGCACACGGCTGCCCCACTGTGCGTCTGCCCTGCTTGGCCATGCCCCACTGTGGGCTGCTGCTTGTTCAGCTGCACTGCTGGTGTACACTGCAGTGAGCTTCTCAGATGCCCACCAGAACGTCATGCCAGCTCCTCACACCGGCTCAGGAGCTGCTGTGCCCCACTGTGGGCTGCTGCTCATTCAGCCCCACTGCTGGTGTACACTGCAGTGAGCTTCTCAGATGCCCACCAGAACTTCGGTGCAGCTCCTCACGCCGGTTCAGGAGCTGCTGTGCTCTTAGGAGCTTCCCTGCTCTCCACAGTCCTAGTGAGTCGCAGCCCTGGGGGGCAGCCTGTGCCCAAGAAGAGCATGCGACAGCTCTGCACCTAGCCTCCCCCGCCTGCCACCCGGACAGCTTCCTAAGTTTCCCTGGTCCTGGGCTCCCGCAGCAGCAGCTGGCATTCAGCTGCTTCCCCTGGAGAAGCAGCCCAGGCATGCTTCTCCACCCCTGCCGCCATGCTGGGACCCTATCCCAGTGTTTCCAGGGCTCACCCAGTGCCCTCCCGTCCTGCCTGCACCAAGGAGCTCCATGTAACTTGTTCCAGGAGGGAAAAAAAAAGACAGTTAATTTTTAAAATTCTCCCTTCACTCTGCAAGATAATTTTGAAAAAAAATTATAAATAAGGAAAATTGGAAGCATTTCAATTTTATTGTGAGCATCTCATCCTCTGAATATGCATGAGAGAGTTTTGCACTTGCAAATTAAAAATTCACTGTAAGGTGCTTGTTCCATATAAATCTGAAATTGTCAGCTACGCAATCTGGTCATTGTTGGGTGAGGGGATCTTATTAACTAATTGTTAAAGAATCACTTAGTGATGAACAGTTTGGAACAAAAAGCAAAATTTAAGAACATCAACATTTATGAAGCACTAGCAAATAAAAAAGAAATCCTTCACCATTACTTAAAAATTAATTTATTCATAAAAAAGTAGATCTACAAAAGCGACAGCATGATTATTAGAAGAGAAAAGGACCATCTGTGACAGCACTGAGGCACTGATTTATTCTACATGCTCTTTGGAGATCTGACTGTCTTTTCAGTGGGCCCTTTAAAGTCTGATTCTGGAATCAGTGTCAGCGCATCTAGAACAGTTCCTGAGACAGCCATTCAGATCCCTGTGTGAGAACTCATGTTCCGGACTGCAGGACAAGTGTCACGCGCCGTGGCACAGTGGGAGAGAGGACGGAGCCCTTCACCTGTCGCATGCACTACATTCCACAACTGAGCTTGTCCTGGGCTCAGCTTGGACAGCTCCCAGGCCACCTTTTTTTTGTGAGGTGGGGGGACAGAGTCTCACTACACAGCTCCAACTCATAGTGATCCTCCTGTTTTCTGCCTCCCCAGTGCTGGGATTACAGGCATGTGCCACCACGCCTGGGCTCCATTGCTGGCTCAACACACCCAAACGCAGGGCTGGCATTTGGTGCTAGAGATCAAACCCTGGCCCCTGCGCTTGCCTAAGCAAGCACTTGTCTGCTGAGCTATCTTGCCGACCCTTCCCCAGGCTCTCATAGTATTCCCTGCCTAGCACCTCCATGTGAGGTCTTGGAAAGGATCTTACTGAAAGGACAGGAGTGTCTATTCAGCTAACCTGTTCAAATAAAAATCGACTCCTTTCTAAAATATCACACAGGTAAAAGAGCGGAAAGCTCTAGAAGTCCACAAGAGAACTATAAATAAGCAAAAATGTGAAGAGATGGTGTCAGTGGGCCCAGAAAGAACTGCTGTTCCTGTTGAGTTTTACAGTGAGTCTGTCTCTGGGCTCCCGACTTCCTGCAGGGTTGGAGAAATGAGAAGAGGAAAGGGTTCCCGTGGGACCTCTGTAATTACACACAAGAACATTTAAAAATAAAATACATGTGCATTTGTTTGATCATTTTGTCAAGAAATTTAGCACAGCATCTTCAGGATTAAAATGCGAAAGTTGCTCATTCGCCTAGAGACCCACCATGCTGAGCTACACTGGAGGAGCAAAGAAAGCAGTGCTGTCCAAACCTTTACGTCTTCAGTGGGGGCTGGCGGAAAGGAAACCATAGCAAACACAATCACAGTCAAGCTTCCAAAAGCGAGTGTTTCACCCATAAGTGAGAAAATGGAGTTTGCATTACACTTCACCCCTCACACATTTTTTAATTCAAAATGCATCATGATTTAAGCATAGAATTAAGAAAATTGAGATTTTAAAAATCTATGGAAAATACCTTCAGGACTAGGGCAAGACAAAGAGCTTCTATATTCATCACCAAAAGTAAGGTCAGCTAGGCAGGACAGCACTGCCAGAATCCCAACACTTGGGACACTGAGGCAGGGGGCCATTTGAGTCCCAGAGTTCAAGGCCGTCCTGGGAAATAAAAAAGACCCCCATTTCTCTCACACGATGGTCTCGTAGCCAGAGCGGGAGAGTAGCCAAGCCTGAGGAGGGTGGGGGCATCTGGGCATTTAGGGCCTGGTGAAGCCTGCCGGGGAGTCCTAGAGCTCAGAGGCTCCCGGGGTGGACCTGACGGGGTCCCAGGCAGCTGAGCGCAGGTGGGCATTGGGTACAGGGAGGCACCGCCCTAAAGGCCAGATGGTCACTGGCCCACCATGGGGGACCCTGGAACCCCAAGCCACACTGTGACTTGACCAGGGCTGCACTTGCTTCTGAAATAGCTGATGGCTAGAGGCACCAGACCAGATTCGCTTGCACAGGAGTTAGTGTTGCCCTTGACAGCAGGCCTGGGCAGCCCCAGGCTGGGCGCACACAGGTGCTCGAGGGTTCCTGCCCCAGCGCTCCTGTGGTTGTTTGGTGGGCAGCCCCAGCCGGCTAGGGATGCTGGCGCCGGGTTGCACTGCCAGATGGTGCCGTGGGAGCCTCTTCTTATCCCAGAAGAGCACAAACACTGGTGTGAGCACGGAGAAGGCTATGCTGTGGTACTGGAGACGCGGCTGAGGCAGGAGGATCGCGAGTGGAGCCCAACCTGGGCACCGTAGCTGCTGAGTGAGACTCTGCTTCAATTTGTTTAAAAAATTTCTTTTTCTAAGGGCTGTAGATAGAGCTCAGGACCAAGACCTGAGTCCCATTCCCTGTCCTGAAGAAAAAGTGGACACTTTGAAAATGAGTGACTCTCGGAGTTCCGGGAGCCCCCAGACCCAGTCCTAGCCCAGGTCCGGTGAGTGTGC